TTCAAACTGACCTTGCAGTCCAGCATTAACCCGCAGCACCATGCCAGGACTCCATAATATCTAAATTAGTGCCTCATAAATGACTCCAATATGATTACCATGAAATAAGCTTGATATGCCATGGTTATAAACTAATGAACCTCTTATGTTCATCACTAAGTTTTTTACTTAATACTATTTTATTTAACACAGGACTGATAGTGTTTCTCAGTCTTTCATATGTGAAGTGATAAATTAGATTTTACTTTTCTAATTAGCTACTGTTTTAGTAGATAACCCTTTTACATTAAAAAAAAAAAAAAAAAATTATGCCAGCCACCTTCCTAAAGAAGACAAGTGATAGCAGGCTAAACATTGCTTTAGCAAGCTATTTATCCCAGTTGTTACTGGGCACAAACAAGTTGGTTGATTGGTAACTTTCATGACAAAGCATTGTAATTATAACTTGTTTTCATTAATATGATTTGAATGATGGAAATAATTATTTCCACATATGTGCTCTCAAAGCTACAAGGTTTTCCCTTGATATGGTTGGTAGTTTGTAATCTAATAAACTAAACATCTTTGAGTGAGGATTCAGACAGCAGAGGTGAGTGGCACCTTTTAATACCAACTATTATAGTAATGGAGTCCTGGTGTCGCACTGAGGGTTAATGCGCCAGACTGCAAAGCCATTTGAACTGCAAGTTCAGTGGTTCAAGCTCACCAGTTGCTCCTCGGAAACCCTATACAGGGTCGCTATGGGTTGGGACCGACTTGATGGCACTTAACAACAACAACAACATTATAGTAATACCAGCTCCATAATAGTTTACTGTAGAACATTGCAGTGTGCTTTCCTAGGGTATTCTACTGGTAACAGAAACTCTATGCATGCTGGCAGGACTGTATTCTGAATGGTTTAGTCCTTTGGGATTGGGGACCATGTTTTTCATTGTACTTGATTTTTGTGTAAATTTTTAATTTTAATTTTATTTATTTTGTAAATGTACAATAATTACATATGCTACAAAATTAGAAAGGTAAATAAAGGCTATTTTTTGAAAAGTTCCCCTCCTATTTTTCCTTTAGCCTCCCTGGAGATAGCAATGTTGATAGCTAGAATATTATTTTTATTTGAAACTTTTGTTCTACTTTTATTGCATTAACATTTATTTAAGAATACATGGCATTATATAAGGATTTAGGTGCTATTTTACTCTTGAATGATAAGCAGTAAGGAGATGACAGTGTTTGGGGAGTTGTTTACATAGTTGTGTGCCAGTGTGGCTTAATGCACTGGACTGCAAATGTCAGTTTGAACCTTGGCGATTCAAGTTCACCAACCACTCCTTGGAAACCCTATACAGGATCGATATGGGTCAGAACTGACTTGATGGTTCTTAACAGCAACATATTTATTTTAAATGACGATTTTAGAATAAATGAATTTCCTTTAAATAATAATTTTTAAAGTGATTATTATTCCTTGCAATTTGTTCCACAGAAGCTTAGCAGAAAGGTGGTGTTGTGGGGCTGGCTGTAAATCCTAACCAGACTTTAGTGAGGGAAATGGGAGATCCTTCATTTGATAGGGGAAAAAAACCCTTTTCATTACTTTTATGCTAATTTTGTTAATAAAATATAGAGCATCATTTCTTATGTTTATCTTTCCACTATAAATAGTGTGTTTATGTCCTACCAGAGCAGTTGTTTGAACAGAACATGGGAACACCGAATGGTTTCAAATTAAGAAAGGTGTGCGACAAGGTTGTATTCTTTCACTATACTTATTTAACCTGTATGCTGAGCCAAATACTTTGAGAAGCTGGGTTATATGAAGAAGCACGTGGCATCAGGATTGGAAGAAGACTCATTAACAACCTGTGATATGCAGCTTATACAACCTTGCTTGCTGAAAATGAAGAGGACTTAAAATACTTACTGATGAAGATCAAAGAGCACAGCCTTCTGTATGGATTGCATCTCAATGTAAAGAAAACAAAAATCCTCACCATTGGACCAATAAACCAACATTCTTATCAATGGAGATAAGATTGAAGTTGTCATGCACTTCATTCTTATTGGATCAACCATCAACACTCATGGAAGCAGCAGTCAAGAAATCAAAGGACATATTGCATTAGGCAAGTCTGCTGCACAAGATGTTTTTAAAGTGTTGAAGAGCAAAGATATGAGCTTGAGGACTAAGGTGTGCCTGACCCAAGCCATGGTATTTTCAATAACCTCATATGCATGTGAAAGCTGGACAGGAAGTCAGGAAGACTGTAGAAGAATTGATGCTTTTGATTTAAGGTGTTGGAGGAGAATATTGAAATTGCCATGGGCTGCCAAAAGAACCAATAGATCTGTGTTGGAAGAAGTGCAGCCCGAGTGCTCCTTGGAGGCCAGGATGGCCAAACTTCATCTCTCATACTTCGGATATATTGTCAGGAGGGACCAGTTGCTGGAGAAAGGATATCGTGTTTGGTAGCGTGGAGGGTCAGAGAAAAAGAGGAAGATCTCCAGCAAGATGGATTGGCAACGTGCAGCATCAGTGGGCTAAAGCATGACAACATTTGTGAGGTTGGCCCAGGACCGGGCAGTGTTTTGATCTGTTATACATAGGGTTGCTGTACGTTGGTACCAACTCATTGGCACCTAACAACAACAACAAGGAGCTCTGGTAGTGTAGTGGTGGTGGTTATGTGCCGTGGAGTCAGTTCCGACTCTTAGTGACCCTGTACAAGGTTTCCGAGGCTGTATATGGTTAGAAATTGGACTGCAAACCTCAAGGTCAGCAGTTCTAAACTACCAGCTCTTCCACGGGAGAAGGATAAGGCTTTCTGCTACCATAAAGATTTACAGCCTCGGAAAACCTATACAGGGTTGCTATGAGTTGGAACTGACTCCACGGCACATAACCAATACCACCACCATGTCCCACCTATTTTTCTACAGTAATATTCTTTTCTTAATTGATTTTGCAAGATGTTTTTATTTAACTATCATTCACTTACTGCCATCTAATCAATTCTGGCCCATAGCAACCATCCTACATAATGGTTTCCAAGACTGTAAATCTTTACGGGAGTAGACAGCCTCATTTTTCTCCATAGGAGTGGTTGGTAGGTTTGAACTGCCTACCTCCAGTGCTTGTCCTGTAGTGCCAACAGGCTATAGAAGGGAGAAATCTGTTAAACTCATTTTTCTTGGGTTGAGTTTTTTCTTAATTTTACATGTGAAATATTTTGCCACATGCAATTTAATTTTTAAGTAACCAAATTGATAGTCTTTTATGACTTCTGGATTTTATAGGACAGTTAATAAAGAACTTGTCTAAGATTTTTTTCATGCAATCCTATATTATGTATATAGATAAACATTTCAACCTTTATTTCACATGTAATATATTTTGGAGCAGGAAGGTAAAAGAATCTAACATTGTTTATTAAATGATCAAATATTCCCCCAGAGTTTAAGTCTTATGTTTATCATATGCAAAATTACTGACTATTCTTAGATTTTATTCCAGATCCTCTACTGATTGTTTTGTCTATTTCTTTGCAGTGGCAATTACTTTATAAATAGCTCATGGAGGTAGTTCCACATATTGGTACTTTTCAGAGTTTTTTGTATTTTGCTTATTTTGTTTAGTCAACTAATAGTATTTATCACCTTTGATGTGCCAGGCCATTTTCTAAATGGTGGAATTCTCTTTTGATAAGGGGATGCAGCAGTGACTTCATGGGACTTATATTCTAATAGGAAATTTGGTCAATTTTATCTTCCCAATTTAAAAATGTTTCTTCATTTATATTAATTATTTCATTCACTGGTGTATTCATTCATTTATTATTAGATGATATATTTTTGCAAATGCACTAAGTCACTTATTTACTGAATATTTATTTTTAGGATCTGCTAAATAATACCACTTGTTGAGTCAGCTCCAATTCCTGGTATACCTGCATGTGTACTGGAGTAGAACTGTGCTTCATAAGACTTGCAGAGGCTGAACACCAAGTCTTTCTTCCAAGATGTCTCTTGGTGGGCTTGCCCTTGTTTTCCGTGAACAGTCAAGCACAGTCCTGTTTTAGGATCCAAGACACAGTGATTCTTTCTGACTATACTAGTTAACTCACTGTTATCAAGTCAATTCTGAGTCATAAATTCTCCTATTTCTTGTTAGCCTCTGGAATATTTGGCTTTTCATTTTGTTCCATTTATTTGTAGCTAATGGGTTTCATCAAATATCTGATAGTCTTATTTGCTTACTTATTCATGTTTACATGAAAGAACTAGTAAAGTGGGTGGAACATAGAACTTCCTCAGTTGTCTAGGGCTGCTTCTGCAGGAAGGTCTCACTCTCTAAGTAGACTTAAAATGTTCTGTGAATTTTTATTAGCTTTTCAAGGTATGCAATCAAACCCTTTTTAGTAGATTATTCATTCATCGCTATTTTCTTTTTCCAATCTATTCCTCGTACTGCTACCACTGAAAAATCTCTTATTGTTTGCAGGATATGGCTTAAATACCTTTTTTTTTTTTTTTGCCTCCTCCTTTGCTCTTTGCTCCAGAAAACCAGATGACTTAGCAGTCTCTAACACTTGAGCGTCTTGGCTTGTCCTCCTGCTATTTGTTTTGCATAGATTGCCCTTTTCCTTGCTTTTCCATTTGGCAAACTCCTATTAGTCCCTTAAGAGTGAACCCAAATGTTATCCAAACAAACCTTTTCTGATTTATTGAGACAGATTAAGTTTCCACTCACTGCATGTTCCTTACTTTATATTTACTTCTGTAATAGTACTTAACCATATTGTATTGTAATCATTTCCTGCCCCCAAATTAGAGATTTCAAAAGCAGGTTCTGTATCTCCTATTGTTTATATATCCAGTTTCTCTTGTACGGTGCTTTACAAATAATAAATGGTAAGAAATAAGTACATGTGTAATGAATTTTATATCAAATGTAATTGTCATGTACTTAAAATATATGTGTCTTACTTTTTTTTCTCTAGAGGCGGGGAGCTATCTCCTATGACAGTTCTGATCAAACTGCATTGTACATTCGTATGCTGGGTAAGCATTATTTGTTTTGTGGCAGTAGTAGTTAATACATGCTCTGACATATTGTTACTTGAAATTGAGTTATCTTTCATAAGGTAGCTTTTTATCCCTGATGGTAGCAGAAATAATCTGTTATATTGAAGTCTGGAGTCTGGAAACCAATATTAATGTGATGTCAATAGAGACGTTTAGGTTTTAGGTAATTGGGGCATCTCTGGCTTAATAAGTAGAACACATGCAGTAGTCCATATTTTAAATTTGCATACTGAGCATTCTTAATAGGAAATAAAGAGCCTTTGATTTGTAGCTATTAAATAAAGAGATGAATGCCAGCATGGACAAAGATAACACCATGAAACAACTGACCAGTTCATCCCTTCATCGTATCCCTACAACAAGTGAGGAAGATCATTGTCTTCCTCTAGTCCTGGTGTTTATATCTGTGATGCATTACTGAATTCCACATGGTAAAATGAATTTAGATGTTTATCTATGTGTATCATTTTTTTTTCTCCTTTTCTTTCTTGCCAAATTTATCTCTCTGCCCACACATTCCTTAATCTCTTGCATCTTTATTCGTACATTGAAAATGTACTGCTGCACTTCTAATCGACAGACTTACTGTTTGTTCTTTTCTTAGATGAGTCTTCCATGACTACTCTTCTCGTGTTCAGAGTTTCTTCTTCAACTTCTATGATACTGAGCTATCCTTAGTCTTCACCTAGCTTTTTTTTTTTTTTGCCTCATTCACTAATTCTTTTTCATATTCTTAATCTTAAATGTTCCCAAAGGAGCCCTGGTAGCATAGTGGATTACGTACTGGGCTGCTAACTGCAAGGTCAGCGGTTCGAATCTACCTGCCACTGCACAGGAGAAAGATGAGGCTTTGTGCCACCACAAAGATTCTCAGCCTCGAAAACCCTGTACCCAGTTGCTATAAGTTGGAACCAGTTCAATGACACTTAATCACAACAGTATGATGACTTCACTGTTTTTGCACTGGAGATTTTTTGTCACCTGTAAAATATGTTTTATTTGCTAGTGGCTTTTAATTTTTTCTTAACTCCATGTATTATGATGTTAAATTGATTTACCATGTACTGTACTCATCTTTTAGATGACTAGCTTTAAAATATATGTTGAAATTCTTATTGTTGGGAAAGATTTTTTTTTTTTAATCCTCCTTGTCCAGCCTAACCACTCAGTACTGGGCATTTGTAAATCCCTTCAAATCTTATACAAATGTACTTTACCCTTATAGCTATTAATTACTTGCTCCTAAATGTTATTACTGGGCCATTACTGCTGGATATGACACCACACAGATCTTAGTTGGGGTGCCAGCCCTCTAAAGTTACATTTTATTCTCAATTCTTCCCAGGAGATGTACGTGTAAGAAGTCGAGCAGGATTTGAATCAGAAAGAAGAGGCTCTCATCCATATGTTGATTTTCGTATTTTCCACTGTAAGTGTTCAGACACAATCTTCTCTCAGACTTAACTCAACTTCAAATCTTCATGAAATTCAACAATTTTCCAAAGGGAAAAAAAAATTATGTTTGGAATGTTTAAAAAATATATAATTGGATTGTGATCAAATGATATTTTATTCCTAGATAATGTTTGGAATGTTTAGGTATATAATTAAGGAAGAAGATACTAAAACATGAAAATTGATGCAGTTTTCAGTCTCCTGTTTTTAATGTGAAATTACCTTTATACATTTTTTTCTTCTTAATAATATTTTTAAATTGCCTTATTCCAGTTTATATGCACTACTATAGACAATAAGGTTTATGTTTTTGGTTTATTTGAAAAATATACATTATTTTTAAAGGTGTTTAGTGGAATGCATATAATAAAAACTTTCTGTGTGGCTACAGATCATAATGGAGAAAAAAAGGAAAAAAAAACCACAGAACTTAAAAATTGTTTAAATAATGTTATTAAATCTAGTTTTGGAAAAGTTCAGTTTCTGGTAATACTGGTTAAAGTAATTTGGTTAAACACTATAACTTAAAAGCAGTAGAAGAATGGGACAAGTATAAAAGACTCATTTGAATGTATCAGAATGCTATTAAAACCAGCAGATGGAGTATATTTCAGGCCACTTTTTCCCTAGTAGTATCTCAGGATGCTATAACCTACTACACTGCCAAGGGAGCCCATGGGAGAAAGACTCCCTTAAAGACTCATAGCCTCAGAATCCCTATACAGGGTCGCTACAAGTCGGAATCAACTTGACGGCAGTGGATTTGGTTTGGGTTTAAATGAGAATCTGAGGTAGAGATTTTGCCTGTCTTTTAAGGCTACAAAAAGAAAAACAGGCATTCAGAGTCTCTCTAGGTAGAAGGGCTTGGCATTGGATAACCTTCCATGCTTAGTTTTTAGCCCTAAAGTACCATACCTTAAAAATACATCCTAACTTTGTAATAGCTCGACCACTGATGAGGTGAAAGGATATGAGACTTTTGTGCCTCTACTCATGTTGAAGAAGCAAATGTCAGTTCCTCTTTGGAGGAAAGTGACAGTATCCCAACTCTCAAATTTGGATTTTTTGTGTATATTGTCGGAGTTCTGGTATGGCACAGCAGGTAAAGCACTAGACTGCTAATGGTGAGGTTGGTGGTTCAGACCCAGCAGTCGATCCTTGGAAACTCTATTCAGGGTTGCTATGAGTTAGAACCAATTTGACTGTACTTAACAACAACATATACTGTCAAGCACTAATTTAAAGAACACGTTGAACACAGAAGCAGATAAGAGAATGAAAGCAAGCATTAAAAAGAGATTTGTAAAATGTAAAATAGTGACACCCTTTTCATTAATTGTTGTTTTGAAAAATGTAGTTTATTTTAATGAAAATGTTTTCTATGGTAACATGTAATGGGTATTGTTATTGTTAAAATAATAAATGCATATCTTAAGAGAGTGTAAAGGGGTCCTTGGAATCACTATGTTAGAGAATATTGCATCAGAGTTACCTCTCTACACGCAAGTTCTTCAAGATCTTTTAGAGTGATCATTTCAAAGCACTTTCAACATTTTCAGATTACAAAAAAGGAACATTCAGTGGTATTTTTATAAAGCAAATAAAAGTTCTTAGAAAGCAAGTATGATATTCTGACTCTAAATGTCAGTGAAAATCTTTTAAAATATATTAGCAAAAAGAATTTTAACAGCATAAAAGGATAATGCTCCAGCTTTAAGTGGCTAGGGTTAGTTCAGGAAAGAGAACAAGGATGGTTCAATATATATGTTTTCTTGGAATAGTACAATACAAACTAGTAACACTTTGGCAGCGTGGGTGGGAAGGAAACTTTGTTGCATACTTTTGAGTTTTGATTAGTATCAATGTATTACCGGTTGAAAAGTTTAAATAAAATAAAAACTTTTGATATTAAAATACCTAAGGATTGGCTTTGAATAGGAAAATCCATAAAAGAGGTAAGTCTAAATATCAATATTAATATAAAGAAAAGCATAATTGTATTTGTATTCTCTAGTATGCCCCTGTCTTTTGCTGAATTAAGTGAGATAGAGAATTTGAAATATATAATTGTTATATATAAGTGTTGGGGTTTAAATAGAGGACGTAATGGGACTGGTGTGGTGCTTGTAGGTTAATGTGCTGGACTACAAAGTCAGTTTGATCCACAAGGTTGGTGGTTCAAGCTCACCAGCCGCTCTCCAGAAACCCTATACAGGGTCGCTATGGGTCAGAACCGACTCGACAGGACTTAACAACAGTGGGACTTTTGGGAGGGACTAGGGAGTTGGAAACGATCATATGGGGGAATTGCTGAAACGATATATCTTCTTGTTGGTAGTTGCTGTTGGTCAGCTCCACGTCATGACCACACTATGTATAACAGAGCACACCATTGCCTGACCGTGGCCACATTGTGTACTGTTGCCTGACCAAGCCAACACTATGTATAATAGAACGCACTGCTGCCTGACCATGGCCACACTGTGTATAACAGAACAACACACTGCTGCCTGACCATGGCCACACTGTGTATAACATAACACACTGCTGCCTGACCGTGGCCACACTGTATGTAACAGAACACTGTTGCCTGACCATGGCCACCCTATGTATAACAGAACACACTGCTGCCTGACCGTGGCCACACTGTGTATAACAGAACACACTGTTGCCTGACCGTGGCCACACTGTGTATAACAGAACACACTGCTGCCTGACCGTGGCCACACCATCTCCATAATTTTGATAAGTTGATCCCATTGTTGATGCTATCTATTGTGTCTATCCATCTCATTGATGGTTTTCCCATGTTTTTGCCATCCCTTTTTATGTCCTTTTCTAGCTGTTAGTCTTTCCTGACAATATATCCAAAGTAAGCAAGATAAAGGCTCACAATACTTGCTTCTAAGGAGGGTCAGTTATATTTATTCTAAGAATGATTTGCTTGTTTCTAATTGAGTTAAAATAAGAAGTATATCTTCTAAATCAGTAAACCAGGAGCAAATAATATAAAACCTAAATGACAAGATGATAGAAGCAAAACCTAATATGCTGTTATAGTAATGAAAGTGTATGGGCTGAATATTCCCTCTAAGAGATAAAGACACTTTGATTAGGTTAAAAATGAAATCTAATTGCAAAGAATGGTTGAAAATAGCATGAAAACATACCAGACTTGAGCATCTTGGGACCTGCACTTATGTCCTGCTCCACCAAGGTGGGTCTTTTGTTTCAGCCATTACTTGTGTGGCTTACTTAAGTGGCTCTCCAGTATTTGCGCAATGTAATTACTTGTTCACACTTGAGCATGCCAACCTGCACTTACAGCTGTGGTATCTCACACTAAGATCATATTCCATCTGGAGTTCCTATTAAATTTTAGTTTGTTCCCAATCATATTTTGTTTTGGAGTCATTGCTGGCTGTTTCAAAACATCTCTTTAATAATTCATGTAGATATCATAGGACACAGCTAGCTCATGTCCTTTGCCGCTGCCTTACTGTTTTTCCTGCGTTCCTACCATCTTCCTATAACATTCCCCTTACCAAGCTATGCTGGTAGAGATTAGAGTTGCTGCATAGAATCCCTCTAGAAAAGATCATCATTCTTTGCCAGCTATGTGTATTCAAATTTTTTTATCTAATTTCCAGGTGATTCTAAAACTTAGGCATTTGAAAAACACTAATTTTTGTTTCTTTTGTGTCACAAAGTTGGAAGCACTGGAGTATTCTATCATCTCTCTAGTTTTGTAATGTAATTAGGAACTGATATGAATTGGACTTTAATCTTAGTATAATCTGTTGTTGTTGGTTGTATGTAGTTGAGTCCATTCTGATTCCTGGAAACCCCATGTGTTACAGAATCAAACCATTTCATAGGGTTCTTTTAGCTATAATCTTAACAGAAGGGTTGGCTCATCCCACCATCCTTTAAAAGATTGTTGTTGTAAATGCCATTGAGTTGGTTTCAACTCATAGTGACCCTGTATAGGATTTCCAAGAGTGGCTGGCATGTTTGAACTGCCAATTTTGTAGTTACCAGTCCAGTTTTGATCCTGTGGCACCCCACCAGGGCAGTTTAATACCATCTGTGCTTTGTAAAGTTGGAGAATCGTAATCTTGTGGAGATTTAACATAAGGCTTAATTTTGCATATAACTTTTTGAAGGAAGTGCTTCAGTAAGGCTTTGTATGCTTTCTTTCTCAGCTCATGAAGAAAGGAATTTAAAATTTTATGAATAAGGATCTATGTTCAAATCCTGACCTTAAGCAGAAGTGTGATCCAGCAGCACGTATCCTAGCTCTTAAAAATGGAAATGCTTTATAACAGTAATTAGAATAATCTTTAAAAAGTATTTTATATCTTTTTAAAATATTTTTATTGTGTTTTAGAACACTTTTTATGCAAATTGTTCTGGGTCATTGGTTACGTTATTTCCATTCTGTTTGTTCTGTGTCTGTTGATCTAGCTTCCCTGCCCTTTCTTGCCTACTCATCTTTGCTTTTGGGTAAATCTTGGCCATTTGGTCTCATACAGTTTATTGTTTAAGAGAGCGTGTTTTTCGCATGTGATAGTGTTTATTTTATAAGCCAGTCTGCTATTCGGCTGAAAGATGATAACACTATTATTTGGCTTCAGTCCCAAGTTTATAGACTATCCTAGGACAATAGTCTCAGGGCTCCTGTAGTTTCTATTTGTCTTGATCTTTTTTAGGAAGTTTTATTTTATTCTATATTTTTCTCATACTCTATCCAGGACCTTCTGTTGTATTCCTGATCAGAAGAGTTGGTAGTGATAGTCATGTACCAGCTAGTTCTTTTGGTCTCTCACCAAATACAACTTCTGTTTGATCAAATCATGCAAACTAGAGTTAGGTGAATTGCTTAAGGGAAGTAATATTAGTTACACATTTTATTCTATTTACATGAAAAGTAGCTTTTTAATTTTTTATTTGTTTTATAATAAACTTTAGACTCTATTCATTTTAAGAAAATGAGAGTTTGTATTAATTTTGAAGTCTTCTAAATATATGTGATTATTGCCACAGTATCAAGTATAACAGTGTTTTTTCAGGGTAAAGTTAGACTGACTTGAAAATCTGTCATTAAGTAGCTTAGTCACTATTATAGTCAACCTTGTATCCAAAAATACTTTGTATGTAGAATTATTATAGAATAATTATTTGTTGTTGTTGTTAAGTACCATAAATCCAAGGAATGGCTGGTGAGTTCGAAACACTAACTTTGCAGTTCAAATCAACCTTACAGTCTAGTGCTTATCCTACAGCACCACACCAAGACTCCAGAATAACTATTACCGTTAATTTTCAATGCTTCCTCTTTGCTCCCAAATGTGCAAAGACATGCTACATGTATTATCACATTTTCTCTTTACAGTAGTCCTGTTAGGGATGTGAGATGAGGAAACTGAGGATCAGATTAGGCAGAGTTACCTGCCTAATGTCTCACAGCAAGTCAAAGGGGCAGACCTGGGACTTAGTCTCTAGTGTGTCTTACTGAAACCCCATTCTGCCCTACTTCCTCTCTGTGTCCATACATGCTACTCTACTAAAGACCATGGCTCTAAGAATCTAGTTTGGATTTTTTTTTTTTCCATTTACCCATGCATGCTGAATGTAAAAAATTTTCCAATAAAGTTTAGGTTTTTGCTCCCACAAAGCTTTAAATCTTCGAAAACTCTATACAGGGTTACTATGAGTCAGAACCGACTCAACAGCACTTAACAATAAATGTAGGGCAAATGTTAATTACACAGTTTTAAGTGTTATTGTTGCTGTGAAGTGCTGTCAAGTCAGGTTCAACTCATAGAGACCCCATACAGGGTTTCCGAGGAGTAGCTGGTGAGTTTGAACCCACCGATCATATGGTTAAAGCCAAACTTGTGATCCAGTACTTATCCTGCAGTGCCACTAGGTTCTTAGATGTGACTTTCATTCTTTTTGAAGGAAACTAGAAGAGGCATTAGTGGCTCCATGGTAGGATTCTCGCCTTCCTTGTAGGAGATCTGGGTTTGATTCCAGGCCAGTGCAGCTTAAGTACAGTCACCACCCGTACATCATTGGAGGCTTGCATGTTGCTCTGGTGACTTAACAGGTTTCAGGAAAACTTCCAGACTAAGATTGACTAGAAAGAAAAGTTTGGTGATCTCCTTCTGAAAATCAGGCATTAAGAGCCCTGTGAATTACAGCAGTCCAACCCTTTCCATGAGTCTGGGTAGATTTGAAGGGAACTAGCAGCAGGAATCCTGGTGTGGCACTGTAGGATAAGTACTGGACTGCTAACCATAAGGTTGCTTGGCAGTTCAAACCTCGGAAACCCTATACAGGGTCACTATGAGTTGGAACCAACTTGAGGACACTTAACAACAACAGCAGGAGAAAGAAAAGGAGAGCTATTGAGAAGACTTAACAGCGTATAGAATATCTGCAGGTTTTTAATTTATCGCCATTCAACATGACTTTCCTATAGACTAGTGATAAGCCTTATGGCACTGAGTTTAAAAAAAAAAAAAGAAAAGAAAAGAAAAGAAAGAGTAGTAATCTCCAATGGAAATTCGTGAATCTATGTCTCACCATCACTTTTATGGTTTTATGTGATGGATGTTTTGACTGCAGGGCTCCCTCTTGTGTCCATAAAAACATATGATAGTCAGGTCTGAAGATTCAAGGCTTTTCTTTTCCAGATGGTAAGAGAAGAGAAAGTTTTTGAGGGACTTGGGAGTCCTTCCAGCCATTTTGTTTCTTAATGGAGAGCCTGTGGTTTCTGCCCACTTGCTAATGGGATGAGGAAAAGACTAGAGAAAAGCATTGCTTCTAAATCCTTCTGCTAGCCAACCTTTTTTTTTTTTTTTAGTTGTTTCCTGGGGGTTTTTTTGTTTTTGTTTTTAGCAGGGGATGCTCAAAGGAATCAAGAATAAATAATAAGAATAGTGTTATGAAAAATTAAAAGTAACAATGCTCGTGTAATTTAGGTAGGGGCTGATTAGTGAGGTAATGTGCTATTTTAGAACAGAACCAGCAGTGCCAACAGCTCTTTAATAGTAACGTGACTAGTTCTGTGAGCCAGGTTGGCTTTCTAAGCTGGCCTGGAATGTAGGTAACCATGTAAACTAGAGCAAGACTGTGACTTAAAATAAATAAGTATGAGCCTGATAGAAGCTGGACTTCAATAAAGACAAATGCAACGTGTATTACGCTATAAAATAAATAATAGTGTGCCTCAAATTACAGAAGGAGCTCATAAGAAAAAATGGGTAGTAGGGTCAGATTTTATGTAATAAGGCCATAGGGTGAGCTTTCGTAGTAATTGTTTAAATGAAAGTACTTGTTAAATTTTCAGAGTCAGTTTTTTTGGTTCCTTCCTCTCTATATCCTCTTTTATATATTCCTAAATGAAAATAGGGATCTCTGGAAGGTACACTAGTTAACACTCGGCTGCAAACCAAAAAGTTAGAGGTTCAAGTCTACCTCAGAAGAAAGGCCTTTGCAATCTACTTCAGAAAACTCCGCCATTGAAAACCCTGTTGAGATCTGTTGTACTCTAACATGCATGGGGTTGTCATGAGTCAGGGTCGACTGAACAGCAAGTAGTACCGGGGAACTCCTGGTGTGGGGCTATAGGATAACCAGTGGACAGTGAACCACAAGGTTGGTGGTTCAAACCCACCAACTGCTCCTCAGAAACTCTGTACAGGGTTGCTGTGAGTTGGAATCAGCGTGACAGCACTAAACAACACCAATATGTTATGCTTTGGAGTACAGAGATGGCTGCCATCTTTTGTAGATGAGACCGCTAAATAAACAATTATAACCAAATGTCAGAGGTATTATAAAAGGGAAACTTTGGGCACCCAGGAGATGCCTCCCATCTCTCCTAGATGTAGGTGTATGTCGTCATTCAGCTGTGCTTCCCAGGTAAGGTAACACCTGAGTTGAGTCTGGAGAGAAGCAGAAGCTAGAACAATAAGCTTGCTCTTCCAGGATAAGGCGATTGATTACGGGGCATTTTGATTAAAGACTCTATAGAATAATCCTGATCAAAAGGGGGGAAATTCAGAACAAAAAAAGTTTCAAAATCTCATAGAATCCAGAAGTTCTGGAGCTCTGGAGGTTAGATGAACCACTCACTGAAATGATTGCCCTGAGCTAATCTTTAAACCATACATCAAAAATATCCTCTGAAAACCAAGCTTCTTAAAACCAAGCAATGTTGTTGTTGTTAAGTGCCGTCAAGTCGATTCTGACCCATGGCGACCCTGTATAGGGTTTCTAAGGAACAGCTGGTGATCTTGAACCACCGACCTTGCAATTCAAACGATTTTGCAGTCTGATGCATTTAGCCCCCAGCGCCTCACCAGGATTCCAAACCAAGCAATAGTTGAACTTATTTAGTAAAGGATGTCTGCCTTGAGCTCTGTGTTCTTTGAAGAACTATCAATATGGGATCACATTGACAACAGTAACTCAAAAGATTTGGAAACTTAAGGAGCAGGAGGGAGGTGCTATTAATGGGGGGAAATTTGGAAAAGGAGAGTGAGAATGGATACACAACTTGAAGAATATAGTCAGTCAGGGTCACTGCATTGTATGTGCAGAAACTGCTGAAGTGGTGTTTGTTCTAGGTGTGTATATTCTCAGTAATAACAAGATAGTTTTTTTTTTTAATTGGCCGATATAACTTTTCATTCTTAGTCTTTTCTCTGAAAATAGAAATAAAATGCCTGTTCTAGTCTAGGAAATGTGGCATACGACTTATTTTTTTAAGATACTTTGTTTAACTAGAAGGGGTATTCAAAAGTAGCATATGCCCAGTTATGACTTGAGATACTCACCCTTTCCTCATTTTATTTCAGCTCAATCGGAGTTTGAAGTCTCTGTCTCTGCAAGGAATATCAGGAGGTTACTAAGTTTCCAGCGATACCTTAGATCTTCACGGTTTTTTCGTGGTACTACAGTTTCAAATTCTCTAAACATTTTAGATGATGATTACAATGGACAAGCCAAGGTGTGTATAGATTTAAGAAAACAAAACCTTTTGGATAAATTTAATGAAGACCTTTTGTCCAATATGGCACACTAATTTATAGATACCTTTTTATATGTGAAAATAAGTTGGATCCAGGTTTTTCCTTTTGAGTAGCTCTTTTTATAATTTGATATTATAGAGCAAAGGAAATTGCTGCAATAACTAAAATGATGAAAATGCTTTCATTTGGCATTAAATAACAAGTAGGTCAATAGAACATTACACCATAACTTCACAAAGGTTCCTAATGTTGGGCTGATTATTAGAGGTTACTGGATCTGGTATCTATCTCTAGGTAAATAAATGTAGGGCTAGAAAGCATAAGGGACTTGTTTGAGCTCACCCACCTGGCTAGAGATAAATCCAGTAAAGGAAACCTGGAGTTGTGACTGTTATTCAAATGATGTTTCATAGTCTCTCGCATTTTGAGAATATGGACATCTTTTAATTAAATCTGGTGACTGGGCATTATTTATTTCACCTTTATATAATAAAAAGAAAATATCTGAATGAAGGTGAAGTTTAGATAAAACTTAGTTTTGACCAAATGAGAATTTTTAATATTAATTAAGTTTTTAATATATTTTAAGTTATCCTTGGATTTACTATTTATAGGCCAGACTTTGTGAATTTATATAGATAAGTGTAGCATCTTTACAAGAACATTCAGGCAAAAAAATTTGTTGCCATCATTGATGATAAAGACCAATGAAAAATATTCATGCATTGTTTAAATTTTAAAAAGTCCGTTTACAAGGTTTGTTAGAGGATGAGTATACTGATCTGTGTAAGATCAATCATTGGTTGTTATGAATACTATCATAATCTGTGATCTCTGTTCGTACGTAGTCTCATAGTGTTTCTCTTGCATTTATTTATGGATGTGTACAGCATGTAACTTTAGGATAGAAAACAAAAGCTTGTTTCTTAAAAATAAGATCTGCAAAATTTTCAGGTTCAAAGTATATGATGTAAAAGTAGTGTTCATTTGTTATTTAAGGTCTTTGTGGGGTTTATTTGCTTGGCTGAAAGACATACCATCCTAAATTTTAATGCAGTACATGTTTTTAATTATTTTGTAAGGATGTTTGAAGAATATAAGAAAATCCTCCATTAGAATGTTGTTGTTGTTATGTGCCATGGAGTCGGTTCCGACTCATAGTGACCCTGTACAGGGTTTCCGAGGCTGTAAATCTTTACAGGAGCAGAAAGCCTCATCTTTCTCCCGCGAAACAGCTGGTAGTTTCAAACTGCTGACCTTACAGTTCACAGCCTGATTCATAACATTAGTATAGAGTCTTTTAAAAAAGTAGAATAACAAATAAGAAAGGTGGGGTACAGATGCCATATAGCTAGGTTCTAGAATGAGACTGCCTGATTTAAGTTCCCAACTCTGTTAATTTCTAGCTGAGCAAGTTATTTTTTGCCTTAGTTCCTCCATCTATAAAATGAAAATTACAGATAGTACCTGCTTGATAGTATAAACAGGAAAGAATGGGTAAAAACACTTAAAACAGTACTTGGAATGTACACTAGGTGTTATAACTTTTTTTGTTTTTCACTAGATTTTAAAATCGAATTTCTAGACCATGCAATGTATGAACCACATTAAATTGATGTTAAATTATATAAGGATTCATGAAAGTTCATGGGACCATAGGAATGTGTTTTTTTTAAATACCATCCTTAATATTAACAATGTTTTAAAATGGAGTTTATTCCTTTGAACTTCATTCTTTCTGGGAGTCAATGGGAAAATTCATGATGAAAAGGAAAATGATAATCAGCACTTCTTAAGTACATCAGTCACTTTCTGTTTTCATTAACTTCTCTATGGACGATCTACAAAAGATAGAGAATGTTATTGAAATTAAATTACAGTAGGAATGTTTGGTTTTCATTTCAGTGTATGCTGGAAAAAGTTGGAAATTGGAATTTTGATATCTTTCTATTTGATAGACTAACAAATGGTAAGTGAAGAATTTGACTTATTCAAGTTAATGTAGTTTTGGGGGTGATTGCTCTGAGGGTACAACCACTAGTGGTTGCTGCTTACGTTTGCTTATGCTTATTACAGACCATCTGCTGGAGGGGAGCATCATTTTGATCCTGACCTCTAAGTCTAGAGAAACTGTCTCAGCTTTATTTCTTCATTATATTAGTCTTGTGACAATCAAAAGTAACAATCATCATCACCTTCTTAATTAGGCTATTCCTAATTAATGCTGTTACTGTTAATGACTCCCAGTGTATTTTCGCAGTATGCTCTTGGGTTTTCTTCTTTTGATTGTGGCCGTTGACCATAACATTTTTGGTATTTCAGTGTTAATAATCCCAGAAGCATGGCGATTTAGAGGCCTTTTGAGAGGCATCCTTTCTTGTAGGTGTCTGATTCTCAGGCTTCTCTTTCTCTGCATACTGGTGCAACCTTGCATATAGTTATTAGCAGTGCTGCTTTTGGAGGGGTGGGGCTTACTGCTTTAGGAAAGTTTGTCAGAATTCTACTGACGAGGAGAGTTGTTCTTTTTAAAATGGCCGCAAGTAATTCTGATTTCTTTACCCTTTCCTGGTTGGTTTTTGGTTTTCAGTGTGTGTTTGTTTGGTGGGCTGGGGTGGGAGGACTCTTATTTTCCTATTCTTTCTGAAAAAAGGAACATGTTCTTTGGAAACAAACAGAATTTCCTTCGGGAATTATTTTTATTTAGGATCAGCATGTTAGCATCATTTTTGGTGGGCATGTTGTTCAGGTCGTCTTTGCCCATTTTGTGTCTAAATAACGTTTTTAAAATAAAGTGGAGCAGGGTAGAATTCAATGATGAAATAAACATGTGGGTGACAGCTGGCCTTCGACAAGTTCATGGGAAAATTCCATGATCTTTTCATTCCATGTTGCTACAAACTTCTTAACAACCACCCCGTGCCCCCATTCTTTGATATCACCTGAGTTTTCTTATTTCACTTTGCAATGAAGCTTCTTTTGTAAGGAAGCCAAATAGGTAAAACAAACAAATAAGTAAGGCAACTTTATTCATCTGGAGAATCTATGTGGGTCTAGATAGTTTTAGCATCATATTGCTCCTCCTTAGATCTGTGGCCATGCAGAGCAGGAAACCTTTATATACCTTCAGTTTGTCTCCACACTGTCAAGAAATGAATAAATTGGACCAATCCTAAACAAAAGCATAAAGACAACCAAGTTTGCCTTTATCAGCAAAACATCCCTTCCCCTTTTCCTATCTGTTTATTCTTTACCTTTTCTATTTGGAAAGGGTTGTTGCGTCTGTTCCAACTTATAGTGACCCCATGTGGGATTTCCATGGTTGTAAATCACTTTAAGAGCGGAAAGCCTCATATTTTTCCCATGGAGCAGCTGGTGGGCTCAATCTGCTGCCCTTGTGGTTCGCAGTCCAGTACTTATTCTACAGTGCTACCTTGCTCCCTAAAAATATATGTAGGGAATGGAATATATGGTGCCACCGCCTCTTCTAGATCTGGAAGTTTTTCACTTTCTTAAGGCAACATGAATATCACTTTAGTGTTGAGTGCTACCCTTAACACTTTCAGGGTTTAACCTTATTAAACTCCGAACAGCTCACCCTTGTCAGTCATTGAAATAGTTGATTTTCTTCATCTAAATCTTATTTTTAAAAAGTACAGATCCTGCTAGTTAGGAGAACTTGGCGTATTACCGAATGTCAGTGGAAAAGGTTGACAGTGTGTCCAGCGGGCAGAGTTGTAGCTTAATTAGTTAAGGTCACATTAGTTAACAGTTCTTGGTTTGCCCTTGAATTGCCCCACTTCTTAAGTGGATTGGTCAAGAGAATGGCCTAATGGTTTCTTTTTTCAGTTTCACTCCAGATCATTAGGACTTAGTAGAAACCACCTTGATTTTAAGTGTTTCGTTTATTCAGTTAATGATCAGTACTTAAACGTTACAAAAATTCTCTACATCAGAGGTAGGGAACCTTTTTCTCTGCCAAAATGTATAATGTTATTCGCGGGCTATACAAAATTATCAACTTAAAAACTAGCCTGCTATATTTGGTCAAACTGGCACTTCACAACAACATGATGACTAGAGCTGCAGTTGTCTTGTGAGGCCAGACCAAATGATTTCGTGGGCCAGACGTTCCCCACCCTGGCTCTATATTGAGAAATAGATGGGTGGAAGAGGAAAATGTAATTAGAGCTGCTTTCCTTTAAAAAATGTTTTAGCTTGAAATGAATTCTGGATTATATGCATAAATGGTGTGGCATTCTAGGATAAACATTGGACCACCAGGTCAGTTTGAACTGTAAGGTGGGTAGTTCAAACTCACCAGCTGTTCCTAGGAAACCCTATACAGGGTCGTTATGAGTCAGAACTGACAGCACATAACATCAACAACAACATACATAGTATCCAAGAGTACAGTTGAGTTGTCCCTTTTTGCCTGTCGGTCCAATATTTCTTGTATTCCTTACACTAGTTATATTCCAAATAATACAGGGGCAGAGACACAAATTGAATGGTTTCCATGTGTCCCCTCCAAAAGGAAAGCAGTTGTTCTTGATAGGATACATCTGATGCTCTTTTCAGGTGACTGAGGTAGCGTGATACTGCTTGCCACCCCTGAAGGTGACCTGGTGCATGAGGACATTGCCCCAGTCTGTGTTGTGGAGGGAGCTAATCTTTCTTGGATCTGGTCTAGAATTGCTTTCTAAAAATGAGATTTCTGTCCTTTGATGTACTTTTATGATGGTAGATTTTCTTTAATACAGTCTTTTTTCCAATTGTTTGTTTTCGTTTCCATAAAAAAGTAGTTCTGTGCCTATTTTTTTGTTTTGTTATGAGGGGGTCTCAAAAAGTTGCTGGAAATTTTCCATTATCTTTTCATCCCATTTTTTGAAGTCCTCTCGTACTGTGCTCTTCATGTTCTTATTCATTGGCATTAAAATATTTAGTTGGTATCCTGTGAACTGAAAAGGTAGCGATGTTGCGTACAGTCTTTCAGTTGAGGGGGGTATTAAGTACACCCTTGGATTTGCTTTAAAGTTGTGGTGGGGCACATTATGTGTGTCTCTTCCTGAAGTTTGCCTGGATCCCAGAAAAGAGCATTTTCCCTATTAGATTGTAGCTTTCTTAACACTTTTTTCAGAACCTGTTGTTGTTAAGTGCCATTGAGTCAGTTCCAACTCTTAGTGATCCTGTATGGGATTTCTGAGAAGTACCTGGTAGGTTTGAACTGCTGACCTTTAGTTTAGCAGTCTAGTACTTATACCATAACACCACATCTTAGTAATTTGTTTACTTTGTTATTCTCGTTGCTATGTGTCATTGAGTCTGTTCAGACTCATAACAACCCTCTATAAAGTTTCTGGGAAGCAGCTGGTATGTTTGAACTGCTGACTTTGAAGTTAGCAGTTCAGTGCTTATCTGACAGTGCCACACTAGGTTTGGAAAATGATTTCAGAAAACCCCTATGATAACTTTAATATACAGAATGAATATACATTCTGAAATTTCTGTCTCTATCCAAAGAAAAGGAGGTTGGGATAGCAGTAACAAGAGAAAATCAGCTCACCTGGTAAATGTGTTCAGTCCACATGGACTCATGTTTGCACCAGGAGAGTGCAAAAATATAGTATTTGGATGCATTTTACTGCTTAGTTCCTTAAAAATAAGACACTTGAAATGTTTGTTTTCTTTCTGCTTGGAAGAGACTTGTTTGATAGTTTTTAAAAATAATTCCTTTTGGCCTCCCATCCTTTTCAACATTGCTTATGCAAATATTGTGTAAATTAGGTTCTTTTCTCCTCAGCCTCTGTTTTCTGTGGAGAATTATCTAGGCAGTTTTCTAGTTACATTCTTTCTATACTCTACTAAGGAGCATAGACTTCATCACAGGACCATAGAACAATGTTTGGTGTCCGGGTGTGGCACTGTAGGATAAGCACTAGACTGCAAGACCAATTTGAACCGTAAAGTCAACGGTTCAAACTCACCAGCTGCTCCTTGGAAACCCTATACAGGGTCACTATGAGTCGGAACCAACTCCATGGCACTTAACAACAATTACAACAGAATTATGTTTATGTTATTATCCAAATACTGTAATTTATGAGATCATGACACTGTAGGATTAGCCCTGGACTATAAACCATAACGTTGGCAGTTCAAACCCACCAGCTGCTCATTGAAAACTTTGTACAGGGTCACTATGAGTCAGAACCAACTTCATGGCACTTAACAACAACAACAACTTCTTTAAAATATATTTCACTTCAATCAAGTCCGTTCTGACTCATAGTGACTCCGTAGGGCAGAGTAGAGTTGCCCTGTAGACTTCCCAAGGCCGCAATCTTTACAGAAGCAGGTGACCACATCTTTCTCCCAAGGAGCAGCTGGTGGATTTGAACTGTCAACCTTTCAGTTAGCAGCCACACATTTAATCACTCTGCTACCAAATGGTTTATTTAATTGTCAAAACAATATAGTTTCATATGGCCTACAGGTTTAGTGTATATGTCCAAAGCTTCTACTTTGAGAAATATAATAGAAGATTTTAAAAGTGGAAAATTGTACCATGGGAAGGAAGACCAAACATTATAAAAATTATATTTTTCTTCCAACTTTAATTTTTAGACTGGCTGTGACTCCAGTTATTGACAGATGAGTGGTACTGGGAAAGGAAGACTGGCCCATTGTATGAATTCTTCCAGGAATCTTAGATGTACAAGCTAATAGAGAAATGATGATTGGAGGGGCCAAGAGAATACAGTACTGTTGTTACTGTTATTTGTTGTTTGAAGATACTTATCTTCCAATTGTTTATTTGTAAATAACTGAAACAACAGAAATTCATTTCTTTTCTTAAAATGGAAGAAAGCTGTTCAGTGTTCACAACTGGTAAAATAAGAAAGAAAATATAAATTTTAGGTAGACAAAATGTAGGAACTCAGTCTTTTCCTTCATTTTTATAGTCTATTAGGGAGCATAATACAGTCACAATAGTTTCTTTTCCCCCCTACTAATTGATATCTTTCCTTTCTCTTTAGGAAATAGTGTAGTAAATTTAACCTTTCATTTGTTTAATCTTCATGGATTAATTGAGTACTTCCATTTAGATACGATGAAACTTCGTAGATTTTTAGGTAAGTGATCCTAACCCGTTTGACAGTAACAAGATTTTATATAAGAACTCGTTTAAATATTTCATCAGTTGTATTGGTTAGGTACTGCTGTTTCACAAACCCTCTAAACTGTAGTGGCATAGACTATCAAGCATTTGTTGAGCTCTTGAGTTAGTGAGTGCTGCTCTGACCTTGGCCACGCTTGTGTCCACAGTGCAGTTTGCCAGCAGGTGAGTGGCTGTTTGGGAGGTCTGGGCTGGGGCCTGAACTGGGACAACTGGCCTGACTTGGCATTGTTACAAGTTCTCTTTTAATACTCAATTAAAAAGAGACCGAAGAAATTGGCACCATAATAGACTCACATTAAAAACAAAAAAGAAAGAAGAATTTATTTAGCCCCGGTGGCAGTGACCCACTTGCAAGAGAGCAAATGAGTTCAGCCTGTTGAGATGCTGGCTCAAGCTGCCTTTCATTAAACGGAAACACTCTCTATCAGTAAGAGTCAAAGGAATTTGGTACTGTGATAAAGTCATATCTAAGAAAAAGGGGAAAAAATACTCAATCTACAATTTTTACATAAAACCATTCTCAGGCTCAGAGTCAAATTGGTATTGATCCTTTGGGCAAGAGTTATGAGATATGACTTGTGAGGTGATTATCATCTGTGAGTTTGAACAATTTCAGCGTACATTATCTTGCATGAGAACTATAAAATGACCATTCACAATCATATTTGTGTATATCTGCCATTTACAGTTTAACCAGGGATCTTTTTTTTTTCTTTGATGTAGTTATGATTCAAGAAGATTATCATAGTCAAAACCCTTACCACAATGCAGTCCACGCTGCAGATGTTACTCAGGCCATGCACTGTTACTTAAAAGAACCCAAGGTAAGATATTGACATTTACTTCACATGAAAATCCTAAGAAAAGTTTTTGCTATTTGCTTTCAGATACTTTCCCTTGATTGAAATCGTAAGTGAATTAGACGTTTGTTGTAATCATTACAATGGAGTCCTGGTGTGGTGCTGTGGGTTAATGCTCTGGCTAGAACTGCAAAGTTGGTTTGAACCGTAAGGTCAGTGGTTCAAGCTCACCAGCAGCTCATCAGAAACCCTATATCAGGCCGCTGTGGGTTGGAACAGACTCGATGGCACTTAACAACAGCAGTAACGATTAGTGCAAGGAGCTGTAGTAGCACAATGGTTAAGTGCTCAGCCATTGAACCCACCTATGGCTCCAAGGGAGAAAAGACCTTGAGAATCTCCTTCAGTACCAAAAAATTTTAACCAAAAACACACCTTCTGCTACCAAGTTGACTCTAACTCATAGTGACCTATTAGACACAGTAGAACAACTCCTTAGGTTTTCTAAGACTATAAATCTTTATGGGAGCAGACACCCTCATGTTTCTCCCAGGGAACTACTTGTGGGTTTGAACCAATGACCTTGTGGTTAGCAGCTCAATGCTTAGCCCACTGTGCCATCAGGTTTCCTTTAGTTACATTTACAGCCTAGGAAACCCTATAGGGCAATTCTCCTCTGTCATATTGGGTTACTAGGAGTCAAAATTGGCTTGATGGCAACACAAGTCAGTTAATAATAAACTTTGATCTATTGTGATTGTTTTAACAACAACCATTACAATGGAAAATCAGTACAATGCTTGTAACGATGATAGTGAGGTTTTTTTCTTTGAACACAGACAACTCACCACTCTATCTGTAATTTCTATGTCATCAAAATGGAGCATTGTGATAACTTTGCAGACACAAGTGAAATTTGATGTACATACTTTTAATTATTTGTAAATTCTTCCTTATTTCACACAACTCTTATTTACTGTCAGATATTACCACATGTGATCATGAGAATTAGGATGACATTTGTCTTTTTTTTAATCTACTGTACAAGTTGTATTAATGCCATTGACTTTGTTGTCAATTTTATGATCTAGTAACGTTTCTTTCTGATTAATTTTTTTGAATAAGGAGATATGTTACATTTTCTTTTTTATCATGTGTAATTTCTCTGCTTTCAAATGTTCCATTTAATTTCCCTTCAAGAACTTTTAAATACTTCCATGCTGCGTCTTTCCTGTTTTATAATGGTTTGATCTACCTGAAGTGGTTTGATGTTTTGTGTTATTATATATCAAATTTTGAAAATAAGTCTAATTTTGGATTGCTTTATTCTCCCATGATGGTATTTGTCTCTTCTTCTTCCTCTCCACTCTGTTTTAATTATTAGTGATGAGAATAAGACTTTTGCCTTGTTATTGTTGTCATTAATTGCCATTGAGTCAGTTCTGACTCATAGCAACTGTGTATATGATCACTATGAGCGACTGGTGGGTTTGAACCGCCGACCTTTGAGTTAGCATTGCAGTGCTTATATCCTACAGCATCACACCAGAACCCCATACTTTTGCTTATTCCTTAATAAATTACAAGTTCTTACAGTATACACACGTATGCCCAACCATTTATGTTTATGTGTATAGGCATCTGGATATGGGCTAAGGGTTGTGTTGTATTTAGCAGGCTTCTTCTGCTCATATTGATTACTAATCAGTCCTTTAAAATGCTTTTGAATCCTAAGGTGGAAATAATTTTCTTCATCATTTTCTCCCTATTTGCCAAGTTTTCTCGGCATACCAAATATAGAAAATACATAATAAAAGTTTACAATTTTGCAAGGGATTCATACTGTTAGACAGTGATTTTTCAGACTAAGGTTAACCTAACCTAAAAATCAGTAAACCAGTTATCATTAAGTTGATTTGGACTCATGGATCCTCGTATGTCAGAGTAGAACGGCATTCTGTAAGGTTTTTCGTGGCTGTAATCTGTTAGTGGAGTCCTGGTGGGGCGCTGCAGGTTAATGTGCTTGACTGCAAGGTCAAACACATGGTTGGCAGTTCGTGCTCACCAGTCACTCCTCGGAAATCCTATTTATTTTTGTTGTTGTTAAGTGCCATCGCTATTGGTTGGAACCGACCTGATGGCCCTTTAACAACAACAGGCTTTCAGTAGTAGATTGCCAGGGCTGTCTTCCATGGCTACTGAGCAAGTTCAAACTGCCAACTGTTCAGTTATCGAGTGGGTACTTAATCACTTGTGCCATCCGAGGGACTCCTAAACTCAACCTTGGGGTAGAAAAAGTTGATGCAGTCTGTCAACAAAAAACAAACTAAACTCACAGACATAAAGTTAATTCGGATTCATAGCAACCATATACGATGAACTAGAACTGCCTCATAAGTTTCCAAGGCTGTATATTTACAGAAACAGATGGCCACCTCTTTCTCCTGTTGAGCAAGCAGCTAGTGGGTCAGACTGCTGGCTTTTTCAGTTAACAGTCAAGTGCTTTTAACCACTTGACATCTCATCCTGACAGAGAAGTTGTTGTTGTTGTTGTTACGTACTGTGGAGTCGTTTCCAACTAATAGCGACCCTTGTACAGGGTTTCCGAGGCTGTACATCGTTACAGGAGCAGAAAGCCTCATCTTTCTCCCATGGAACAGCTGGTAGTTTCGAACTGCTGACTGTGAGATTAGCAGCCCGATTCGTAACCACTGTGCTACCAGAGCTCCTTGACAGAGAAGTAGCATAATCTAAAAATAAATGTATACAAATTGGTGATGTATGCTCAAAATGTTTACTAATGGGACACCTGCTCACGGAAGTTTAGTAACCAGTGCCCTAATGTAAACCAGAGTTTGTGAAATGCTGTAGGAACACAAACATTTGCCCAGAGAAGGAGCTGGAGGCAGGGAGGTGGAAGGGTCATTGGAATCAAATGGAATCAGAGGAGTTTGACTCAAAGTAATCATTTTTTATCATTGAAAAGTTTTAGTCAGTAATAAACTTTTATTTATTGTGATTTTTATATCAAATAAATTTAGTAATGATTATTGAGAGTAAAATTGTAATTGTCAGAATATAAGATTATGTTTTGTTCTGAATGTGTCCATCCACTGGGAGAGAATTTCATTAGAAACTTAACATAGACCTTCACAGTTTCAGAATTCATTGGTAGCTTCCTTACCCATTGGGACTATAGTAATTTTTTCACATTTTAGATCATATCACTAAACTTTTATTACTAATTGCGAATCTTGGTAGCGTAGTGGATAGTGGATTATGAGTTGCACTGTTAACTGCAGAATCAGCATTTTGAGTCTAGCAGCTGCTCCATGGGAGAAAGATGAGGCTTTCTGCTCATTAAAGTGTTGAAAGCCTCAGAAACGCTCTACAGGGTGGTTTGCTATGAGTTGGAATCGACTCAATGGCACATAACCAACCAATAGCTAATTTATTGATAAGACTAATTGTGTAGTTCTCAAAGTCATAGGTCTGTGTCTTGGAATGGGTACAGTCATGGAAAAACTAGCAACCCTTTGTGGTTTAATTTTGAAATAAGAACTACATTAAAGCCATTATTATTTTAAGAACTACATTACAGCCATTATTATTATTATTATTTTAAAGAATGGTCTATACTTTAGCTGCTGTTTTAGTTAAGCCTAGAACCGACTCAACAGCACTTAACAACAACAACAACAAATTAACAATGAAACAGAATGGTGAGAACTCTATTACGTTCATAAGGGCAGGGGTACTGCTGTGGTACCTCTCCTGTACCCTAGCATTGTGACAAGGCCAGCACCACGAAACTCTTGGTGGAATTAACAACAGCACACCCAAAAACTAAATGGTGAAGTGGCAAGAAGTGCTACCCTGCTGCTGTTGTATGTGGAGAGTTAGCGTCAAAGATACCTGTGATTAATTGTTCTTTGGTCACTTTTTAGCTTGCCAATTCCGTAACTCCTTGGGATATCTTGCTGAGCTTAATTGCAGCAGCCACTCATGATTTGGATCACCCAGGTGTTAACCAACCTTTCCTTATCAAGACTAACCATTACTTGGCAACTTTATACAAGGTTAGTAGACTTTTAACATCAATACTTATTCTTTGTGCATTCTAGAAAGTGGCTTGTGTTTTGAAGGCAGTAAAGTAGTGAACATAACTTCTCAGCAAACACTAGAATTTTAGCCAGATGATTTTACGTATTACTCACAAGTAATTTTGTGTGTCCAGAAAGAGACCTAACTCAGAAATGCACCTTTTTTTGTAGAATACCTCAGTTCTGGAAAATCACCACTGGAGATCCGCAGTGGGGCTCCTGAGAGAATCTGGCTTGTTCTCCCATATGCCACTAGAAAAGAGGTAGGCTCGACAGAGATAAACTTCATTCAGTAGGAACTATTGAAATAACATTGTCAAAAACAACTTCAATAGATTATGATATTGTATGCAAATGTTCCACATTTTTTAGTTTTTGTTAAATTTAATGGAGAAATTACCATATTTGTGTACATATATAGGTATTATATACTTTCATTTTATACTCAGTTGAAAAAAACCTTAGGTCTAGAAGTAAAAATAAATCATAGAAGTAAACATTTTGTATACATAGTGCCATTAAAATCTACTTCAGGAAGTTTTCCAATTAATAAGAAAGTAAAATCAATGCTCTTTTCCCCGATATGCTAAGTAATATAGCCGTAGAATCCCTTCCAAACTTGTCGGATAAACGATTGAGCGGAGAGAATGACAGAAACTACTAATATTGTAGGAGAGTGATGCTAAGCAGGCCATTCTGAGAGCATTCTAATAAAGCAGCGGTCATGTAAGTGAACCCAGTGTGGTAGTTGGTAGTGACAGAAATCTGTCACTGTGAGCTCAGCGTTGCCCCTTTGAGGGATGGCTCTCTTAATGATAGCATGTTAATATCATGGACTCTACTAGTAACATTTTAATCAGTTCTTTACTGATCATTATTCAAATATTTATGCAAATGATCTAATGTTTGTTATGGCCCACTGTATTAAAAGAGAAATACAACAGATTATTTTAAAAAATATATTTCTCTTGTTATTTGCATTGAGGTAGTTTTTAATCATTAAAAATATTTGTTGTTTGTATTAACAGATTAATTTTTCTCTGCCAGACAGTTTGGATATCTATATACAAATAACTGGTTTATTATTAAATTTGGCCCTGAAAAGATAGCTGAATGTAAACTTTAAAAAAATTGTTTAGTGGTCCTTCCCCAAGATTTAATCAGCCATTTTAGTGAGAACACCAGTTTTTGAATGGCTATTATTCTTTCCATTTGAATCTTCCTTTTGCATTTCAGAACTTGGACATTGAAAAATAAGCTCAAGTTGTTTTCCCACAATGCATCCCAACAAAGAATTTTCTCAAACAAAAGACCAATCTTACTGGCTTTTTACAAAAACAAATAATTCACCTTGGCTGGGGAATAAAGGCACGTTTTTTGGAATGTTTGCGTATTGGCATTTTCCTACAGATTGTCTTGGTTATTTTAATAGTTTTTTCTAAATACACTCCTTTTTTTTTGCAATAAATTGGAAGGTGAATAGTAATTAGAATATTTTAGGGCTCTTTAAAGCTTTCCGATTATTAAGTTTTAGAAACAAGTCAAGGAGTAACTTTTTAATTGGTTGTCTTATATTTTCCCTTTATATTTTTCTAATTACAGGCAGCAGATGGAGACTCAGATAGGTGCTTTGATACTCGCCACAGACATCAGTCGTCAAAATGAATATTTGTCATTGTTTAGATCTCTTCTGGATAGTGGGGACTTGTGCCTGGAAGATGCACGTCACCGGCATTTAGTTTTACAGGTAAAGTGGGACTTGGAAATATTCCATTTCTTAGGTATTTTATGTGACTATGGATAAAAATAAAACATTTTTCCATGGTAGTTTTTCTGAGTTGGTAATTATATTTTTATGCAAATATTGTGCATGTTATACATTTTTTACCTAGCTCTCCCCTCAAGATATTCACAAGAGCAAACTATGCTAATTTTTTACATAGTATAACTCATGCATTATTTCTATAAAAATACGATCAGTCTTGAAAGGAAGATGATGAAGTTCCTTCCATTTGTGCATACATTTTCCTGCAGAGCACACTGGCAGATATGTGCTCTCGGAAGGGGCATTGCTGATAAGTTTTACACACTGGAGATTTCTGGTGCAAGAGTACCAATTAAAAACATCATTTTGTCCTATTTCTCACAACTGAAACATGGGGGAGAATTGGTTAATGTATTTGTAGCTTTATTGTTGATCAGGAACTGTCTTTGTGCTTGGCTGTTTGGTATTATCAAACATATATAACTCAGTTAGTCAGAAAGCTCCTTCCTCATCTTCCTTACAAAAATTGTTGATCGTTGCGTCATAAAATTAGTGCAAAAGATAATAAAATTTCTGTTGCCATCATTTTTCACATGCTTTTTTCCAACTTTTAGAAAATGTATATATGAACTTAATACAATTGAAATTTACCTTTTTTAAAAAAACACCTTTAATATTTTGTTTGCTAGATGGCTTTGAAGTGTGCTGATATTTGTAACCCATGTCGGACCTGGGAACTAAGCAAGCAGTGGAGTGAAAAAGTAACAGAAGAATTCTTCCACCAAGGCAAGTTATAGTATTAAGTGGTAATGATTCAGTTCAGTTTTTAGCATCATATGAATCAAATAAAGGACTCAGTCATTCATAGGAGTCTCACAGTAGATGGTTGCTATTTTTAGTGACAATTCACAGTAGATGCCCATGTAGCTGATAATGTCCAAATTGAGCATCTGTTTTGAAAATTAGTAGTCCTCTTTTAGAGTGATTTAAAAAAACTAAAACAAAACAAAACAAAAACAACACATAGCATTTCATCCTAACTCATTTTCACATCTAAAACATGAATTAGTTCATTTATTTGTAGCTTTATCGTTGAGCTAGAACTGGCCCTGAGCTTGCCTCTTTGGTATTTGGAAGCATATATAACTTGGCGTGCCTTTAAGAAATGAGGTAGCCCAGGTTGGAATCTTATTTGTGGTGGTGTTGTGTGCTACTGAGTTACTTTCACCTCATCATGTCCCTCTACGCAGAGTAGAACTGCCCCATCGGGTTTCCTAGGCTGCAGTCTTTACAGGAGCAGATGACCAAGTCTTTTTCTTATAGAATTGCCAGTGGGTTTAAACTGCCACCCTTTTGGTTAGCCAACAGGTGCTTAACGGTTGTGCCACCAGGGCTCCTTGAATCTTGCTGTACAGGGCACAGAAGGAGCTCCCTACTTCACCGCTGTGTAAACATTTTTGTGACTTAAAGCCAGGAACTGTAGATCCTCATTACAGCCTCACCTTCCTTTGAGAAATTAAAAAAAGGACACTCTTAAAGTAACCCCCTAGTAAAAGTTTTCTACCACCTTCATTTAAAATAGGGTACCAGCTTTGCAGCCTTCCCTGAGTGCAAATAACTTAAAATTTGCAAAGAACTAATTTAGAAGCCACTTATCCTTTAATGAGTGTGTGATGATGAGTATGTGGTGGTTATCCTAAGGTATTTACAGGTAAGATGAAGACTTTATATATTTAACCAATGAATATATCATATTAATAATTCACTTTTTTATTTATAGGAGATGTAGAAAAAAAGCATAATATGAGCGTGAGTCCGTTTTGTGATCGTCAGTCCGAATCTATTGCTGACATTCAGATTGGTAGGTAACTGTACATATTTCGATACAGTTGATTAGAAAAAAATCCCACTGATTTTAATTGTGTCAAGAAAAGAAATAAATGTAGAATATGAAATGTTAAAATGATGTTCACTTCTCTTTTTTAAAATACATTTAGAAATTTTCCATTTGCTCTGACTCATAATGATCTTGTATAGGGTTTCTGAGGATAGCACCTATAACTTATTTTAATCTAAGGTCATAAAAATGTAATTTTGCAGTTGTTGTTAGGTGCCATCGAGTCGGAACCGATTCATAGCGACTCCATACACAGCAGAATGAAACAATGTCTGATCCTGGGCCAACCTCACTACTGTTGCCACACTTGAGTCCATCAATGATGCCACCTGGCCAATCCATCTTGTTGGGGGTCTTCCTCTTTTTTCTGACCCTCCATCTTACCAAACATGATATCCTTCTCTAGCGACTGTTCCCTCCTGACAGTATGTACAAAGTATGAAAGACAAAGTTTGGCCATCTTGGCCTCTAAGGAGCACTCTGGCTGCACTTCTTCCAAAATGGATCTATTGGTTCTTTTCGCAGCCCAGGGCACTTTTAGTATCCTCCTCCAACATCATTATTCAAAGGCATCAATTCTTCTACCATCTTCCTTATTCACTGTCCCGCTTTTGCATCCATATGAGGTTATTGAAAATACCATGGCTTGGGTCAGGGACACCTTAGTCCTCAAGCTGACATCTTGCAGAGCAGGCAGCAATAACTTTGTTCCTCTTCTCTAATGGATAGAATCCATTACAAGTAATGGTTGGAACTGCATTTGCTTCGGCAGGGCCTGACCAAATGATTTTAAGGGCCTTATATGGTCCGCGGGTCAGACATTCCCTGCCCCTGACCTACAGATAACTAGAAAAAAGCCCACATGAAAAGCTCACATATAGTAATTAGAGTTAGGGTTAAGGTTAGCAATTTTCCCTGTGTGTATTTCTCTTGTATGTATTAATCACAGTGGGGGTTTTTTTGCATGGTCTCCTTGGAGAGTTGATATGACACTGCGTATTTCCTGAAGTCAAAGGATGTGGCTGTGTAGTTGACAGGAATAATCAGAAAGGATTTGATACACTTGTGATTTCATCTTTACTTAAAGTTCAGTTGAACACAGTTCAGTTGTGAATTGTGCAGTTACATTGTGCAGCCATTCTCACCCCCCTTTTCTGAGTTTTACCTCCTGGTGAACAGAACTTCACTGCCTCCTGAGGTTCCTATCTAATCTTTCAATTGCTGAGTCAGTTTGATTCTATGCAGATAATTCTTAAAAGGAATACAATACCCAAGTTTAAGGTGATAGAAATGTTACATTGATTAAGGTGGGGTTGCAAAATGGATGAATGTAATTACTGTCAATTAGTTGTATACCTGCAAAAAGTTGAATTGGAAAAAAGTTCTGTGCTCTATTTACCACAACAAAGAGCAGCTGCTGAGGCTGTTTATGTACAGCCACACACCTCATGAAATTTGGTTTCTTGGTTTGGGCTCTATGGCCACGATTTCAGAGAACAGTCCCATTAATTGGACTAATATTTTATTTAGGACTTCTGTTCTATTTACTAGTTTGTTGCATAGTGCCTGGGATCTTAAACACTTCTAAGTGGCCATCCAATGTGCAACTGGAGCAATAGAGGAAGGAAAGTCAGGAATGGGAAGAAAGAGATGAATGGTCTGCCCGCCCAATTGCCTCCATGAATACTTGCCTTCTTTACCATGACATCAGAAGAACTGGATGGTGTTTAGCTACCATTACTGAACATTTTCATTAAAAAAATTCTATAGAAGAATCTTGATCAAAGTGGGGGGAAATGCAGAACAGAATTTCATATTTTTGTGAACTCTAGACTTTCTGGTATAGAAGGGAGATGAACTTTTATCCTGAGATAACTTGATAATCCAGAAATATCCTGTGAAGTCTTCTTAAAACCAAATAATAGTTTAGCTTAAGTAGTAAATAATATCTGCCTTGAACACTCTCCTCCTTTTATGAACTATCTATATAGACTCAAACTGACACACCGATTTGAAAGTTTAGACAGGAATCTTAGGAGGCAGTGAGAAAAGCTGAGAAAAGGAGGATATAAATGGTTGCACATGTAATCACTGTCACTGAATTGTACATGTTGTTGTTAAGTGCTGTCAAGTTGATTCCGACCCATAGTTACCCTGTATAGGGTTTCCAAAGAGCAGATGATGAGCTTGAACCACCAACCCTGCAGTTCAAACGACTGACTTTGCAGTCTGCCTCATTAACCCACAGCGCCACACCAGGACTCCTACAAGTAGACACTGTTAAATTGGTAAATGTTCTACAGTGTGTATTCTCAATGTCTACAACAAAAATAAAATAGATTGCTCGGAGGATCTATGTAAACTACATACATTAAAATCTTAGGGAAAACGTTTCGGTAATAACTAGGATAGAAGTACTGGTGTGGCGCTATAGGGTAAGTACTTGTTCTGCCCACCAGCAGCTCCTTGGAAACCGTATACAGGGTCACTATGAGTCAGAAGCAACTCCACAACAATTAACAATAACAACAACAGGATAGGATTTAAGAAAGTGAACACTATCGATCTTTGGAGAGCTAGTTTCAGAACATGTGTCAATTGTTTCTTTTTCTTTTGTTTCCTTCAGGTTTTATGACTTACCTAGTGGAGCCATTGTTTACAGAATGGGCTCGGTTTTCAAACACCAGGCTTTCGCAGACGATGCTTGGCCACTTGGCGCTGAATAAAGCCAGTTGGAAGGGAGTGCAGAGAGCGCAGTCCAGCAGCGAGGACACTGATGCTGCTTTTGAAGAGTTGAACACATAGTTATTACCTCAGGAAAACCAGTCGTCTTGACTCCCCAGAATCAGGGGACAAACTGCCTCATGGAGAGTTTTAGAAATGTGAAATAGGCCATGAGGCAAAAGACTTTACCCTTGACTGCCAAGGTTTCCAAGTGAATGATGCCAGCATTGCTTTTTTCCAAGGCTTCCTCTGTCTGATCATTTGAACCCACTTTGTAATTGTAAGACCTGGATACAAAGCAATATGCATACGGCTTTTGTGTAAAATCTTGAATATGCAAAGCCCAGCAGGAAAGAATAGGAAAGGGAAAACAGTAGGAAGTATCATGGTGTGCCATGTGTTTTTCAAAACAAACTAGAATTTACTCTTTAAACTTGAAATGAATCTTTCAGCAGACATCTCTTGGAATCTGACCAGTCTGATGCAACAATGAATATCTGTACTTTCTACTAAATTCTCACTGAGAAAACGGAAATGTGAAGTGCCCAGCCTCTGCTGCCTCTGGCAAGACTCAATGTTTACAAATCAACTCTGAAAATATCGGTTCTAACTTTGCCATGGAGCATGATTGTGAAGGAACCACTAACATTTTTTTAAAGATCAAACCATTGACTGCAGCTCTTTCAGCTCCCTTGTTTGCCTTTTTTCTTCTTTGGATGCCGCCAAAGCCTCCCCTTTGCTATGGTTTTATCTTGTGCACTGGAAACCCACCATTTATCCTAGAGTCTCCCCAAGCTGCCACTCCAGTGCTGTTTTGCAATATGCAAAAGTTTTTGTTTTGTTTTTTTAATTCTTAGGTTTTATTTTGTGGTGGGAGGGGAGAAACACTGATTTCCCAGCTGTATTATGATTCTGCAGTGAAGATATTGCATGCTGTTTTCACTGCTGTACACTCGATCTGCACATGCAAGAAAAAGGTGGAATGTTGAAAACACCATAATCAGCTCAGGGTATTTACCAATCTAAAATAAAGTGGGATGGGAAGTATGTCCTTCCGATCGAGGGTACTAACGTCCCTTTCGCTGCAGTGAGTGAGAGGTATGTTGTGTGTGAACGTCTAGGTGTGTGTTTGCGTGCATGTCTGTGCATGTATGACTGTGCATGTGTTATATTTATCCATGTGGGGAAGGATTCGAAATGTAAGGTTTATTTATTACTTTAGAATGTGACGTAGTGAGCAGTCACACCTGGGGAGGGGAAAGTAGGTAAGCTGAAACAGATTGCTCCAGTTGCCTTAAACTATGCACAAAGCTAAGTGACCAAACTTCTTGTTTTGATTTGAAAAAAGTGCATTGTTTTCTTGTCCCTCCCTCTGATGAAACGTGACCCTCTGCTGGACCTTTTGATGTGAACAGATGTTTTTTAGGACAAAACTTAAGGACTAATTTTAAACTTAAAAACATTCCACTTTTGTAATTTCTTTTAAATTGTTTTATGTATAGTAAGCACAACTTTAATCAAGTTTTAAGAGAAATTGGTGCTTTCTTTTAGTTCATTTGTATTTGTATTTCTCTTGTTACTAAAGACTGTTGATTAATTATGTTTACAGTTTGTCGCAACAGCCATTTTCTTGGGAGAAAGCTTAAGTGTAAAGCCATTTGTAAAGGCTTTGCCATACTCATTTTAATATGTGCCTGTTGCTGTCAACTTTTGATTAATAAAATTCTATCTTTTCACAATTTTATCTTCAATGTTTACCTTATAACTCAATCCTTTGGAAATCATAATGCTAAATACTAGGAAATCTAAGACTTAGCTTCTTGGCATTTGCATTCACAAGCTTCAGTTGCCTGCACTTTACACCCCGTCAGTCACATCATTTTGCTGAGTCATTAAGAAGGCACAGTAAAAGTCAGCTTTGAGCCCAGGTGTCTTAGGCTGGGCTCTGTAGAGAACAAAAACCAATGAAGCATGTGTTTGTATATTAGAAAGAGAGAGTTTTATATCAAGGCTCATATAGTTGTAGAGATGAGCAGGTCTCAAGTCCCACGTTGGTCAGATGTCAGGCTGGAAGCTTTTGACTCATGTAGCTTCAGGGCTGATGAACCAAGATTGGTAGGCCATACGGTAGGCAGGCAAGTCAGGCTGGCTGCTGATGACACCAAGGATTGGCAGGCAATATAACAGGCTACTGGACCAAGTCCAAAGAACTGGAGGTTGGATGATGAGCCAGATGCAGAATCCAGACCCAGCAGAAAGCAAGCAGACTTTACCTGAGTGTTCAATATATTGAAAGCAGGCCACACCCTTGAGGAAACATCCTTCAGTTCATTGGCTGCTTATAGCAGATCTCATCGTACGGCATCACTATGTCTTAACTGCCAAACCACTGCACTGACCCAGTCAGGAATCCTGACCCAGTCAAATTGTCACAAAATCTGAACTATCATATTTCACTACTTGTCAGCTTGGCACCTATATATATTACCTTGTTGTTGTTACGTACCGTGGAGTCAATTTCGACTCATAGCGACCCTGTACAGGATTTCCGAGGCTGTACATCTTTACGGTAGCAGAAAGCCTCATCTTTCTCCCGTGGAACAGCTGGTAGTTTCGAACTGCTGACCCTGAGGTTAGCAGCCTGATTCATAAACCAGAGCTCCTTATATATTACCTTAAACCATACAAAATTTCTAAAGACAATTATGAAGTAAAGCCATACTTGCACCTTAACAAGCATACAAACCAAAAACACACTGTACCATTTACATGTTAAAGTTTATAAATGAATAATATATTTGATGCACATGTGTACAAGGAAAAAATATAACAATTAACAGTCCTCATTTCTACAACTGATCATGTGGCCATAGCTGGAAATTAGAACTGCCTCTTCCACAACCCATTCCATATCCCCTTTGCCTTTAGCAAGCACCTCAGTTGACTGTTGTTATTTATGTGGTGGGATGACCCAAACCATAATTCCTAAAGAGTTCGGGCCATCGTAAGTCATACCAGAATTGGGTTTCTGTAGTTTACCACCGACTTTAATCACAGCACATGGTAGTGCTAGGAGACGTCCTAAGGAATTTCCAGGATTCCACACATACTCTGCTTTACCTCTACCTTAAGCTGGGTTTTCTAGAGAAGTAGACTGAGTGAAACATTTATATGTGTGTGTGTGTGTGTATATATATATATAAAGAGAAGACGATTATCAAGGATATGGCTTAAAATTGTAGCTTCCCAGGTCCCTAGCAGAAGAGAGTCCCATGTGTCCATTGTATTGGGAGCAGGCCACACCACCCAAAGAAGCAACCCCCACCAACTGATTGGCTTCTCACAGCCAATTATCACTGAATAATGATGTCAGCATTAGGTTTCATCACCACGGGATTAAGCATGTCTCAACTGCTAAACCTGAAAATCCTGGCCTGGTCAAGTTGACATAGAACCCTAACCATTACAACCTCCATTATGCAATGTCAGTCCATTATCCCCTTGGTGGGGTCAGCCACAGAACTCTATACAGTCATTTCCTCCTGTGCCTGTTGATCAGAGGCATGAGGAGCCCAAAGTGGCTAGGGGTCATTCTAAACATCCGATTTAATAGAATCAGTGTTGTGTATCCAGTAGGGAGTATTCCTCTCTTTGGAACTAAAGCATCCAGACCTCAAGAGCATAAAATTTTTTGAATGGGTCACTAGGAGTAATAGTGAGTGGTGCTACCCCCCTTTCTACTTCTTGGTTCCTGGACTCAGGAATCCTGGCTATGGGAAAAATAGCACCATATATTGAACACTGTTGTAGAGCATTATAATCTCCTGGAGAACATTGTCTCAACTCTACAAGGTATTTCCACCATGCTGGTGCTGTAATTGTGTCTTTAGAAGGTCATTAGAAGGCTAATACAGAACGTAGTTATTGTTAAGTACCGTGGAGTCGGTTCTGACTCATAGTGACCCTGCACAGGGTTTCCGAGGCTGCAAATCTTTACGGGAGCAGAAAGCCTCATCTTTCTCCCACGGAACAGCTGGTAGTTTTGAACTGCTAACGATCTCTAGTCTCGGCAGGCAATAGATTAGGTCACTGGCTCAAATCCAAAGAACTGGAGGTAGGTTGGATGACAAGCCAGATGCAGAATTCAGATCCAGCAGCAAGCAAGCAAGCTTTACCTGAGTGTTCAATATATTGGAAGTAGGTCACGCCCCTGAGGAAAACTTCCTTTCAATTAAGAGTGCTCAGAGCTCATCTCTATTGGGGGATGTTAAATGCTGTCAAGTCAGTTCTAACTCATCGAGAGCCTGTATAGGATTTTCAAGGAGCAACTGGTGGGTTTTAACCACTGACTTTGTGGTTAGCCGTCCATTGCTTATCCTACAGCACCACATAGGACTCCAAGTATGTCTAAGTACCAAGTCAGAGAGAATTTTGCCTCAGTCAAGTTGACATACATTCTTAACAATCACACCAGACCTTTTGACTCCAGGACCTTTAGTTACCACAGCTGGGGATTGCATACTGAATCAGTACCTCTTGTAAATACTAGTCATATTTATTGCTGGTCTTTTAAAAGAAAAGTAATAAAAAATAGTCACTTGATTCTATTTGATTGACATCAATGTAAGAATGACATTGTTGGCAAAGAAAAGGGGTCAGTAGATCACTCCTGGCTTGTTGGAATGTGGCCCTGCATTTGTTGCAGAGCCATAGAGATGTCCTGCTGATAATCAGGTATATACACAGCATTCAGTATGAATGAGAGCACTCTCAAGTGCTGCCCTCAGAGCCTGCGAGAATGTCCAGAGTCACGCAGTTCTGCAATGACACCTGACACATCTGCTCTGTCTTGGCTGACAACAAGGAGAGAGCCTAATGGGTTTCATTTAATCTCACAACTTGCCATTCCCTATCAATAGATGCGGCCCCAGCAGCTGATGCTGCAAGGGGGCAAAACCTCTGTGTCCCAGTTACTGGGCTTAACTGGCAGGTGTCTCCAAATAGTACTAGGGATACAGGGATGTGATTTTCAGGGGACTTTCTCTACATACAAGTTGTTATTAAGTGTCGTCAAGTTGGTTCCAACCCATAGCAACCCTGTATAGGGTTTC